TTTTTTTCAATCTCAAGTTCAAAGTGCCGATTGGATGCTTTCAAACACAATAATAATTCTTTTTATTTTGAGGTTCTTGGACAGGAAAAATTACTAGCAGCCAATGGAGCAAATGTATGTTAATTGCTGGGACCAAAAAAAAAAAAAAAAAAAAAGAAGGAACAAAACAAAGCACTGTAAGGTGACAAAGAAATGAAGGTGCATTGCTTGTACGAATGGGATTGATTCAAATTAGACATAAAACCAAAACCAATCCGTTAGTATTCATAAAATTTGAAATCAATTAAATCTCAATTAAATGCGCCCTTAAATGAATTTCTGGGTTACAGTGGTTCTGGACTACAGTGGTTTGGGAACCAAAAAAAAAATAAAAAAGGCAAAGCGGGCCCTCACATTGCAGGCCCGCAATCGCTATATGGGTTGTCGTTTTTAGCGACCCATTCCCCGATCCAAAAATTTTTGCCCACAAATGGCAACCCGCAATGGAGTAACTGGGTCGCCACTTATGGGTCAAAATCACTGAATATTTGTGTAACGACCCAAACCTGGAGATCCGAGTCGTTAACCGGGTCCTTACTCGAACCTGATATCACACAAGGGTACTATAGTCATTTCATATTTATTTAATATTTTAAGACCCGCCAAGGGTAAAATCGTCCTTTACTAAGGTCACGCAATGGATGAACGAAATCCAGGGGCCTTGTGGTTGTCCCATGTCATTCTAGTGCTCCTAGGGTTTGCAAGGGTATAATAGTCACTTTATGTGGTCAATTAATAATATAGAACCCAAAAAGGTAAAATAGACCTTTATTGTGGCCAAAAGTGATTTAAAAACTCATAAGGGCAAAATGGCCATTTACTAGTCAAAATATAACATTCATATCCTTCAGGGGTAATTTTGTCATTTTTTAAGGTCATCCTGTACTTTGGTTGAAATCTAGGGTTAAATATATAATTATACAGAAAATTATGGTCAAATAGTGAATATCGGACCATTTGTGCACACACGTGGTGGAACTGTATGCACATATGACCATCTGTGTGCATACTTGGTCCATCCTATCATTAAGATGGCCACTCCAGTGGCTATGCAAAATCCAAAACCCCCATCACATATTTGCCCCATCTGTACGCATAGATGCTCACCTGTGCGCATTTTCTGTGCGCACAGATGAGTCTCACTACCAGGCCATCTAATCGTTTAGATGGTGCATCTAACTGGTTAGATGGACCTTAAAAATTACGTGATTTTACTCATTTTAACCGGTTAATTGTTAGGACACAACAAAAGAAAAGAAAAGAAAAGAAAAAAACACATTAAAGTGACAAAGACATGAAGGTGCATTGCTTTTACGGATGGGATTGATTCAAATTAGACAAAAAAACCAAAACCAATGGCATTCAAAAAATTTGAAATCAAACTTTTTTTTTTTTTACAAGGCAAGAAGTGTTTGAAATTAGATTAGTAGATATAAAAAGTTGAAGTTTGACACTCTAAAGTCTACCGGATGCACTAACCTACTGGACTATCAGGACATCTACATAAAATTCGAAATCAATTAAATACGCCCTTAAATGACTTTCTCGGTTACAATGGTTCTGGGTTATAGTGTTTTGGGACACAAAAGTTTTTTTTGTTTTTTTTGCCCTCGCATGGCAGGCCACAATCGCCATATGGGTTGTCGTTTTTGACGACCCATTCCCCGATCTAAAAATTCTAGCCCACAAATGGCGACACAACGAAATAACTGGGGTTGCTTTTTAGGGTTAAAAATTCTGATACTCACACACATTGACATATATGCCTCCACCGAGGCTTGAACCCTTGACTTCTCTTTTGGATAATGCTATATAAAGTTTATAAATTAAAGTTGAGCGACTCAATATAATTTGAAATTTTCGATAAAAAAATATAGTGGTCTTTTTAATTAAATCCACCCATATATATATTTTTTGTTGTGATTTTTAAACATAGCAATAAAAAATTTTCGAACTCTAGTTCCATCATTATTATTTTCTATGTGCTTTCTAATAGACACATATAACAATATAAATAAAAATTTTAAACAAAATATATAATTTTATGATAACAAAAATTAATAAAATTATAAACTAATTTAAGTTATAGAATAATACAAACTGATTTCGAAAAATTTGGTCTAATAGTACAATAAATTCTTTAATCGAATATAAGTGTATTCAAAATCTTCTGACAGAGTGAGATTGTAAATTGTAACCGTGGAGAAGATGAAAAAAAATATTATAACAGCCTGACTAAAGTATAATATAAATATTTCATGAAGTAATTATTTCATATATTTCTAATCACTTTAAAATAATTTAAATAAATGACCATCAATGGCTTTTATTATTATTTATTTTTAATGAAAAAAAGCATGCCCATACAACTTCTTCAATTCGAAAGCGTACAGGAGTACAGATTATAGATATTTGAATACTAAAAAAAAATCCTGGAGTACAATCCAAAAGTTGGTATTTAAGAGGATTTGAAAATAAAAACATTTGAAATGGCGTCCTTAGTTGTCACTTCATGCATTTTGAATTAAGAATTCAATTTTGGAAGTAATTCCATAAAGTCACCATCACTTCCATTGCAAAGAATCCTCTATCATATCCAGCAAATATAGAAAGACAGCAAATAAAAAAACGAAGCCTAAAGAGCAAAATACCCCCCCTACTATACCTATGTTGCATAATGCCCTTCAAGCTGCTCCATTGAACTGTTAAAAATAAGCAAAATATTTTTTTAGATGTCATCGAATGCTAATTTTCGACTAATAGAAGAGCATAATTATTAATTTACTCTTACTTATTAATTTATTACTCCGTATAATAAATCTGCTATCATGAAATGACCGCTTTACCCTAATCTTCTTTACCCTAATCTTCTTTACCCTTCCATTTTTTTTCTCTGCGTTTTTTTTCATCTCTCTGCTCTCTTTCCATCTGACAGCCCATTAAGCTTAGGTGAGGCTAAATATGAAAAGGAGGTGAAACATGCCCGTGTGAACATAGCATCCAAGGTTGAGTGTTACAGCCCCTTCAATTTATTCTCTCTTTTTTTTTTTGTTTGGTAAGTAAATGGAAAGAAAAAGACGTAAGCAATCTGCAAGCAACTGGTTGAGCTCATGGGGTCATCTTACTGTTTCCAGCCAAGAGCACTTTGGATCTACGTTTACATTTGTACTGCCTTATAAGATTTCACTCATATGTGATGATTCTGATGATAACGATGAACTCTCAGACATTGCTGATCATTATGCAGCAGCTGATGCCGATGACGATGATACAAGTTCTGGCTTCTTCCAATTCCAACCAAGCACATTGGGTTCTCTATTCTCTTCTAATGGTTCAGGCATGACCCAAAAATTATCACCAAACAATTTTGGGTTTGATACCTCACATAAGCTCGTCAGATGGAAAGAGAGAGCAGAGAGATGAAAAACAAAGCAGAGAAAAAGAACATAATAATAAAAGGGAAAAGAAGATAGGGGGGCAAAGTGGTTATTTAATGATGACATATATTTTGATTTATTATAATAAATTAATAAGTAATGGTGAATTAGTAATTGTACTCTTCTGTTGGTCGGAAATTAGCTTTCGAAGACTTTTAAAGGGACATTTTGCTTGATTTTGATGGTTGAAGGGGACATCTTGTTTCAAAAAATAGTTTAGGGGACATGATGCAACATAGGTATAGTATAGGAGGGTATATTGCTCTTTTGTCAAAAAATGAATTAGTTAACTACACTTTGTTTTACCATATGTACGAATACCACTCTATACATTATACTTTATATAATATATTATACAGAGTATATTATTATACTATTAAATTTTACCTTTTCAATGAGATTAAAATATTTTTACTTCTTTTTAGCATTAGGAAAGAAATCGTTCTAACTCTGATAAGTCTTCTTTATTATTTTGTTCTTTACTTTAATTGGTAGGCCCCAAATCTAATCAAAAGTTGAAGAACTTTTCGTATCAAAGAGAAAGATTCACAATTTTGATTTATATCGTTTTCATGAAATTCTTTTCATTTGGGTTTTTTCAAATTTTTTTTTTTTATAGGATTTTTGCTCTTTCTTTTCAGGGATGTTCAAAATTCAATCTGTCCATGAAGTGAAAGTTAAAATTTATTAAATAATAGATATGTTGTATACTGAAATTGTATGTATATATTTGGGAAATATAAATTTAACTGGTCAGGTTAACTTTTTTACTCCCTTACTGTACCAATGACCAATCAAGTGAGAGATGTTTTTTTCCATTGCAACTTTTTTACTCCCTTACTGTACCAATGACCAATCAAGTGAGAGATGTTTTTTTCCATTGCAACATATTGTCAAAATGATGATGCAAAATTATTAAAAAAATGCCTTTTGTATTCTTTGAACTAAAAGAGCAAAAAATAATACACCGAATTTCATAAAGATATAGGAAAATATCTATTAATCGTTTATACAATGGCTACCTTAAAATGTTGTAATTTAATTATATTTTTTAGTCTTTCAAAATGGAAGGTCCCACGATTCAAGTTTCTTGTGAGACAAAATATGTGCGTAATTGAGTTTCTTCTTCTTCTCTCTCTCTTTCTCTCTCTCTCTCTCTAAAAAAAAAAAAAAAAAAAAAAAAAAAAAAAGGTAAAAACGTTAAAACCGATAAATTAGACTGACAATTTGGCTCATACTACAATTATTAATAATCAGAGTGTCACTTGAATCCTTTAACGTATTGTTGGTCGCCACGCGCTAGACAACAAGGTTCGTTTTTTGTAGCCGATACATGAGACGTACGTTCACGCGCTGAGAGGCCGCGTCTGTGTTTTCGTGAACTCTTTTGGTAATTACGTAAAGTATCTTTTTGCGTTCAAATGTCATCGAGGTATCAGGGGTATTTCCGTCAATTCACATAGCAATGAATGATGATTCTAATTTACGACGCCTATATAACGCCACACGGCTTACCTAACTTTTGAACGCACACAGCACACTTGTTTCCTCTGGTTGGTATATCATCACTTGTCTCTTCTCTCTCTACACACACACACACACACACTCTCTCTCTCTCTGTCTCTCTCAAAATGGCCGGGCAGAAGCTTATGAATGCGGTTCGGTTCGATGGTTATGGTGGAGGTGCTGCTGGTTTAAAGGTAATTTCATATGCTTCTGGAGATTTTTTTTTTTTGGGTTTCTGTGATTTATTATTAGTATTAGTTAAATATTGTATACAAGAACTTTTAGAGATTGGGTTGACAATTTAGTCTCGGCTTGAAAAATATATTCTATAATTAATGGAATCTGAGTGTCAGATTCAGAGGGAGTGAAACTGACGATGAAAAGGAGATGATTTTTACCTAATTTTTACTTAGTAAATTCACTATTTGACTAGATTGAATTATGTTAAATTATATATCAAAGTAAATTCACTTTATGATTGTTCCAAATTTGTTAAAAAAAAAAGAAAAAGATTGTTCCAAATTAATATGTATATAGATTCCCTAGTGAATGATTAAAAAATAATTAAGATGTGGAACTGCAGTCAAAAGTAAATCTGGTTTTTTTTTTTTTTAATGGTTGCAAAGTAAAAAAAAAATGGATCTATTTTCGGAAGATATAGAAAAACATAAAATACTTAATATACTGTCTTTGTAGATTTGAAAAATGGCTTATTTTTAAGGTCCCTAGAGATATAATTTTCTGGTCTTGCATAGTTAGAGTTACAAATAGGTATATTGACATGATAAAAGAGTATTTATGATGGAATTGTGATTGTAATGTTGTGTTTGGGAATACCGGATTGGTGCTTTGAAATTGAAATTGAAGTAAATTCAGTTTAAACTCTGAACTAATTTGTTTTCAAATTCCAAATGGAAGGCACCGATTTGGTCCCATAATAGTTGTCCTCTTAACAAATTTTGACTCACAATTTTTGTGTGTCAAATAGACATCTAATATGGGATATAGGTAATATATATGTATATAAAAGAAATATGACTAAAAATGACCTCAATTGATTCAAAAATAAAAAGTAGTAGTGAGTTAAAATTTTCGGATTAGACAACTAATATGGGATGGAGGAAGTATCAAGGATCATCATGAAGTACTTATCTTTTTGCTTCGGTTGTGGATGAACTATAAATGAATTTAGGATAAGATTTTAGAATTGATGAAATGAAACTAGAATAGGGTAAAATGCTATATTAAAGGTCGAGTGAATTTTTAGAATAAGTAGATTAAAATTAAATATATGAAATATAACTTTAGTAGAATAGAAATTACAAGTGTGGGTGTAGTGGAGATTGAGTGTCAAAGAGATACCAAAAAATGAACATCTTTGTTACTTAGGTTTAAAAATTTGAGATATCAATTATCGTTACACGGTCTCAAGTTGGGGGCTGAGAGGGGGTGTACTTGTTTCAGACCTGAAATAAGACAGCAAGGATCAACACATTGTAATGGGGAGTTTGGTGTTTTCTTAACATTAAATTATGTGTTCCATCTTATGTCTTGTCTTATGTCTCTCACAGCATGTTGAAGTTCCTGCTGCCTCTCCTTGTAAAGGTGAGGTTTTGCTAAAACTGGAAGCAACAAGCTTAAATCCAGTGGATTGGAAAATTCAAAAGGGCATGCTACGCCCCATTCTCCCCCGCAAATTTCCGTATATACCTTGTAAGTTGTTTTGTTTCTATATTATTTATTTTCTATATCAGAATTCTTTCTTACATTCCCTTTTGCTTCTATAATATTTATTTTGTTATCCTGATCTATTGTATAATCAATTTGAACCGTGCACTGTCTCAACCTCAATTGTTTGGGTATTTCAAGTGCTTTTGTAACAAACTGAAATTGGTTCTGAAAAACCATGTGTCCAGTGAGAGAATGCATATATCTATACACATATTGCGTCAGCGGAACCACCTGACTGTCGTGGATAATGAACAATCAATGTAGTTAAGATAAACATGCTGTCAATGAAGACTGGAGTCGATCATCTCCATGGTTACTAAAATATTGTGTTGCTATAACGGCCACTGTTGACTTTCTAGTTGGGCTGTCATGTTTGGGGCTTCTTTTGGGACCTTGTTGCTTCTCTTGGCAGTTATCTTATCAGAAGAAAGACAATTCAGTTGTTAGATCACCCTAATGGAAAATTTAATTCATGGCTTTGGGATTTTTATTTATCATTAGTTATATCCAACAATGTTAGAAACTTCTGAAACACTTGTATTAAGGATGCATATGCCTTTGTACCGACTGGTTATTGATTCAGCGACTTGAAATATGCAACAAATCATTTTGAGGAAGAATATGACTCCACAGTCTGAATATGACTCCACAGTCCCTTGGAGCCTTCCATTTGGGTCCTATGCGATTCTGCTCCGGCATTGGCCTATATGACTCTGTTTTTCACACCCAGAAGAAAGAAAACCCAGAAGAAAGAAAAATATGAAAGAAAGAGGCTCACTAAGAGGATGTGAAGCAGTTTCTAAGCAGATTTTGGAGCCGTTGGTCATTTTATGGATATTCATAGGTCATGGTGACAAACCAATAAATAATTCAGCATGGAGTTCAGGCGCCATTCATCAGAAGGTCATTAAATAATATGGGAGGCCATAGAGGTAAATGAGTAAGAAATAATTAGGTTAGAATTGTACGATGAATTTGATCAGGGGAAAGCAATGAAGGTTGTAGCAGATAAGGGAAGCTATATCTAGTTCAAGACCTGATGAATAATTTGATGTTTTCATGTGAATAATTTGTGTCTTGTATTGAATAAATTTGTGTCATTTACACTCAATTGAGAAGTGACATACTAATTTGCATGTAATTAGAGAGCTGCTTTTTTTGCTGAGCTGTTTGGCAGAGAGGGAAAACTTTGATATGCATCTAGAAGGGAGGGGAGGGATGCAATCAAGGGTTGAACTCTTATTGTTATTATTCAAAGATTAGAAAATTTATTTGCTTCTCAGAATTCACATGGTATTGTTGAAATGACATACTAAATTGAGTTTAGGATTGATTCTTTATCTTGGTGAACTGTTTCCTGTCCAGTATCTATTTACTTGATTCTTAAGTTTCAACCTGATTGCGCTTTTGTTTTCCAAGTTTAATTATTTATCTTTCACAGTTTTGAGAAGCATTGAAATTTAATTTTTGGAGCTGATGATTTTCTCTGTTGGAACAGGTACTGATGTAGCAGGAGAGGTGGTAGAGGTTGGAGCTGGAGTCGAGAATTTCAAACCTGGTGACAAAGTCGTAGCCATTCTTAGCCATGCTGTAAGTGTCATACATCGTTGTTCCTTTTTTTTTTTTTTTTCTCTCTTTTTAAGTTCTCCTTTCTGCTTACTTTGTGTCATTGAACCATTGGTGACACCATGAAGGTGAACTTTTGAATAAAAAGGCATTCCATGTTGTCAAATTGTTGTTTGAACGACTTGTAGCTTTAAAATTAATCCGTATTCTCTCTAGGCATATTTTGCTCTTAATCACTTCATGGAGCTTGTTTTTCTCCTTTCCTATTATATACATGGACTCATGAGGTGTAACTCGCTTATTTATTTGTCCATTTATTTTTGATAAGTACTGTACTCACCCCCACATGCCAATTGAACCCCTATCCTTCTCAAATGGTAGGCATGCCACTTAAGCTAATAGCTGGTGTATAAATTGTTTGTTGTGCGTTGATTATGTCTAATTATTTTTTATTGAACGTCTCTTCTTTGTTCTTTACTAAACCATGTTAAATATGTTAAGTCTCTGTACAAATCTGTATTTTTTTTGAACTTATGAATTCATGACCCTAATATTTGGCAAATATATATCTAAATGGCTTAGAAATATATAAAATATATGAAAGTTAATAGATGGTCTATAGGTGCCAATGGAAGATGTATCCCTTGTGCTTTGAGGCTCTTGTTTTCTTTTAGAATGCCTTTTCCTTTTAAGAACATCAGGTACTACTCAATTCCAAGGGTGTCATATATTAAGGACAGAAAATTGGACATTGCCTTTGGATTGCTTTAAATTATACTAGAGAGAAATTGAAGGTAATTGCCTTTCAGACGATTGAATGCTATTTCTTGAATATAAGAAAAAAAGATAAATTTTTTTCCCTCTCTCTTCTCGGTGAGGTAATAATAGAGAAGGTAAACTTCAAAAAACAATAATTGCATATTTAAGGATATTCAGGGAACAAAAAAAAAAATTAAGGATCAATTCTAAAGTGTTTCTCTTCTCAAATCTCAAGTTATCTGCCTCCGAGTTAAATTATCACTTGCTTTCTTATATCAATGACAGGCAAAGCCATGTCTCGAAACTGAGGAAAGAAGAAAGGGCAAGAAAAATTGAAAATAGCACCACTCCGTTTCTTGCTTTGAAGAAGCATATAGAGTTGACGTAGTGTGAACTTTACAAATTCCTCTACTTATATGCACCATTATTTCACTTACAAAAGTGAAGATTCATTTTTATTTTTATTATTATTTTTTTTAGTTGTAAAAAAGAAAGATATAACAAAGAAACAATATTAGGTGTGCTGAATTTAAAACCTGGTAGCTGGATGCTTTGCCGTCTCATGCATCCCATGTCAAATTTGTTATTATGTTCATGTTTTTCCATTAATATTTTTTACCTTCATGTGATTGAATGACAGACTGGAGGTGGACTAGCTGAGTTTGCAGTGGCCAAGGAGAGTTTGACTGTTCCAAGGCCGCCTGAAGTATCAGCAGCAGAAGGTGCAGCCTTACCCGTAGCCGGTCTCACAGCTCATCAGGCTCTCACTCAGTCGGCAGGGATCAAGCTTGATGGTAGCAGCCCACGAAAAAATATTCTAATTACGGCTGCCTCAGGTGGTGTGGGTCATTATGCAGTTCAACTAGCAAAGCTTGGAAACACACACGTTACAGCCACATGTGGGGCACGGAACATGGATTTCGTGAAGAGCTTAGGGGCCGATGAAGTCCTCGACTACAAAACTCCAGAGGGGGCAGCTTTGAAGAGCCCATCTGGCCAGAAATATGATGCAGTTATTCACTGTGCCGTGGGCTTTCCTTGGTCTACTTTTGAGCCTAATTTGAGCGCGAATGGGAAGGTAATAGATATCACTCCTGGCCCTAGCGCCTTGCTGACATTTGCTTTCAAGAAACTCACCTTCTCAAAGAAGCAGCTGGTGCCGCTACTTATGATACCCAAAGCTGAAAACCTGGATTATCTTGTTAAGTTGGTGAAGGAAGGGAAGCTTAAGTCCGTGATCGACTCAAAACATCCTCTCAGCAAGGCAGAAGATGCTTGGTCTAAGAGCATCGACGGTCATTCTACCGGGAAGGTCATCGTGGAGCCTTAAAACATTTTATGTTAAATTGCACATCTTGTCCTTGTGTACCTAAATAATAGGGTATGTGTGTGAATCATGTAAAGACAGATAAATAGGTGCTCTGAAAGAAGATTTTTAATGATATGCGGTTCTGCACTTTGGTCTTTATAGTCTTAAATGACAAGTTATTTTGAAGTGCAAATCAAGTATCTTTTATTCTGACTTGTGATCATAATCATGTTCATTTGAAGAATGTTCTTATTTCCCTGAAATAGTTAGACACGAAGCAATCTGTGATAAGCAGAACTTATGTTATATTTGGATTTGAGATTTGGAAGAAATTTAATTTTGAATTAAATTTTTTTCAATCCCAAGTCGAAAAACGTAACAATAATTCTTTTTATTTTGAGGTTCTTGGATTGAGGAGATAGTAACCAAAGCACTGTTGCTGCTGTTTGCAGTTTGTTTCTCCAGCAGGAAAAATCGTTAATTACTGTGTCACACACACAAAAAAACAAAAAGGTGACAAGGACATGAAGGTTCATTGCTTATACGGATGGGATTGATTCAAATTAGACATAAAATCTAGACATAAAATCAAAACCAATCACTTTATCGGCTACAGTGGTTCATGACTACCGTGTTTTGGGTGGGACACAAAAGTTTAAGAAAATAGAAATCGGGCCCTTGCATGGCAGGCCCGCAATTGCCATATGAGTTGTTGTTTTCGGCTTACCCATTCCCCCGATCTAAAAATTCTAGCCCACAAATGGCGACCCACAATGACTGGGTTGTATAATTTGACGCCTTCGGCATAAAAAATATAGTAGCCTTTTTAATTAAATCTACCTATATATTTTTTTGCTAGTAATATACTAATTATTTGTTTTGTGATTTTTAAACTTAGCAATAAAAAATTTTCAAACTCAGTATTGGCTATGTGCTTTCTAATAGACACATACAACAATATAAATAAAAATTATAAACAAAACATATCATTTTATGATAACAAAAATTAATAAAATTATAAACTAATTTAAGTTATAGAATAATAGAAACCAATTTGGAAAAATTTGATCCAATGCTGCAATAAATTTTTTAATAGAATATAAGTGTATTCAAAATCTTCTACAGAGTGAGATTGTAAATTGTAACAGTAAGAGAAATTATGTGAGGAATAAAAAATAAAAATAAAAAGATAAAAATAAAAAGTTAATAGGAATACTAGAAAAATAAAGAAAATTTCACCAATTCTCACTTATATATATATATATATATATATATATATATATATATATATATAATATTTACTATTCTTGGTGCAATGATAATGAGATGAAATATATATATATCTATACTTATTATTAAAAGTGTAAAGAATTTCAGTATTTCATTGTTTTAGTATTTGAAGTATTTCAGTATTTATTTATTAATATAAAAAAATATTTATTAATTGATATAAAATAAAATAAAAGAGTTTCTACAAGTAAAATGAATTAAAATAAAAAAGTTTCTATAAAACTATTAAAACAACTAAAAATAGTTACCTATTAAAATAAAATAGGCAATTATTTAATAAAATAATTTAGCAAATAATAAAATAAATGTTTTAGTATTTCAGTATTTAGTTATTAATTGATATAAAATAAATTAAAATAAAAGAGTTTCTATAAGTAAAATGAATTAAAATAAAAGAGTTTCTATAAAACTATTAAAACAACTAAAAATAGTTACCAATTAAAATAAAATAGATAATTATTTAATAAAATAATTTACCAAATAATAAAATAAATTACCAATTAAAATTAAAATAATTATTATAAAAGAGTTGTTTTAATAATTATAATAAAACAATTTACTAAATAATAAAATAAATTACCAACTAAAATTAAATAGGAAATTGCTTATTTGAAATTCAATCAAGATGTTTCAGATCATTAAATAAATTACCAATTAAAATTAAATAGGTAATTTTTTAATTGAAATTCAATCAAGATGTTTGAAATCATTTATTGAAGTCCAATGAAAATGTTTCAAATCATTCATAGATAAAATAATAAAATAATTTTTTAAATAATAAAATAAGTTACCAATTAAAATAAATCATATAAGTCACCAATTAAAATAAACAAGATACCTATTAAAATAAAATACCTAATTATTTAATAACATAATTTACCAAATAATAAAATAAATTACCAATTAAAATTAAATAAGTAATTGTTTAATTAAAATTCAATCAAGAGGTTTCAAATTATTAAATTAATTACCAATTAAAATTAAATGGGCAATTTTTTAATTTAAATTCAATCAAGATGTTTCAAATCATTTAAAGATTAAATAATAAAATAATTTACTAAATAATAAAATAAGTTACCAATTAAAATAAATAAGGTAATTGTTTAATTGAAATAAAATCAAGATGTTTCAAATCATTAAATAAATTACCAATTAAAATTAAATAGATAATTATTCAAATGAAATGAAATTAAATCATTTATAAATAAAATAATAAAATAATTTATCAAATAATAAAATAAGTTACCAATTTAAAACAAATCAGGTAATTGTTTAATTAAAATTCAATCAAGATGTTTCAAAACATTAAATAAATTACCAATTAAAATTAAATAGGTAATTGTTTAATTGAAATTCAATGAAGATGTTTCAAATAATTTATATATAAAATAATAAAATAATTTACCAAATAATAAAATAAGTCACCAATTAAAATAAATCATATAAGTTATAATTAAAATAAACAAATTACCTATTAAAATAAAATATTTAATTATTTAATCAAATAATTTACCAAATAATAAAATAAATTATCAATTAAAATTTAATCGGTAATTTTTTAATTGAAATTCGACCAAGATGCTTCAAATCATTAAATAAATTACCAATTAAAATTAAATATGTAATTGTTAAATTGAAATTCAATCAAGATGTTTCAAATTATTTATAGATAAAATAATAAAATAATTTACCAAATAATGGAATAAGTTACCAAATAAAATTAATCAAGTAATTGTTTAATTAAAATTCAAAGATGTTTCAAATCATTAAATAAATTACCAATTAAAATTTAATAAGTAATTGTTTAATTGAAATTCAATCAAGATGATTTAAATCATTTATATATAAAATAATAAAAAAAATTGCCAAATAATAAAAAAAATCAGATAATTGTTTAATTGAAATTCAATCAAGGGGTTTCAAATCATTAAATAAATTACCAATTAAAATTAAATAGGTAATTGTTTAATTGAAATTCAATCAAAATATTTCAAATTATTTATAGATAAAATAATAAAATAATTTTTCAAGTATTCAAATAAGTTACCAATTAAAATAAACGAGTTACCAATTAAAATAAAATAGGTAATTATTTAATAACATAATTTACCAAATAATAAAATAAATTACCAATTAAAATTAAATAGGTAATTATTTAATTGAAATTCAATCAAGGTGTTTCAAATCATTAAATAAATTACCTATTAAAATTAAATAGGTAAGTGTTTAATTGAAATTCAGTCAAGATATTTCAAATCATTTATAGATAAAATAATAAAACAATTAACCAAATGATAAAATAAGAGGTACATTATATTTTCTTTCTACTTTGGTAGTAATTTCTTTGAATTGCATAGATTTTTTCTTTTGGATGATTCCATTTATTTTTTTAAGAAACATCTTAATTTATTTTCATTGATTTGTTTCGCAGCATGTTTCTAAATTTTTTGTTTTATTATAGGTACATTATTTTTTGAATTGCATTAATCATGTTGATTTATTTTTTATTTTTATTTTTTGTGTTTATTTAATTATGTTTTATTCTTTGAATTGCATTAATCATATTGATTTTTTTATTTTTTTTTATTTTTTTGTGTTTGTTTAATTATGTCATGTTAGAATTTATTAACTAAACAAATAAGTTTTGTAATATTGTAAATTTCCTTTTCTATAAAATTTAAATATTATAAATTTAATTCTCTAATTATATACATATTATACAAATAATTGCAACATCTTAAACTTGAGATTTTACTCTTAAATTTTAATTTTGACAATACATTTCGCTTCATAAATATTTAAAATTTTAATTACTCAAAAAAGTTACTAATCAATTATTTGAAAAAGTGAATTTATTTTAATAATTTTTTTTAGTTAAGATTATAAAATAAATTTTCATCACGTGCATCTGTGTTTTACTAGTGTGTATATATATATATGTGTGTGTGTGTACTTTGATGTAATGAGAATGAGAGAGAGAGAAGAGACAAAAAAAACTATAAAAATATAAAGATATAAATACTTTGGGCACACTATTAAATTTTGTAATGGTTGAGGTTTAATAATATAAAAAAGTAAAATTTTTAGGTAAGATATAATATATAAAGAAAAAATTTGATAAATAATAGTAATCTTTTAGTTCAACTATTAAATCTTTTAATAGTTAAAGAAAATACAATAAGTGTTTTAAAAAAGTTATAATATATAAAGAAATGAAAAATTATAGGGCCTTGTTATTGGTTTCGGCGATAGGCGGCCGCCTAACTCGCCTAAGGCTCCAGCCAGCCCCGACTAAAGTCTAATATAAATATTTTCATGAAGTAATTATTTCATATATTTCATCACTTTAAAATAATTTAAATAAACAACCATCAGTGGCTTTTATTATTATTTATTTTTGATGAAAAAAAAAATGGCAATACAACTTCTTTCCGTGCATTCAATTTGTAAAGCATTACCTATAGATTATAGATATTTGAATACTAAAAAATCCTGGAGTACAATCTAAGTTTTGGAATTAAAGAGGATTTGAAAATAAAAACATTTGAAATAGCGTTCTTATTTTTTTATTTTTTTTTTTCCTGGCAAACACGAGAAAAAAATGTATAACTTATATCCAAAAGTATAAGCACCCTGAGCAAACGCTCCACATTACAAGAAGCCCAAATCGTTTCACCCTATGGATGAAGATTCTAAGTGGATCCACATGAAATTGATGCATAAGACTAGCCATTGGGCTTAGGCATATAGGTGCCATAACAAAGTGGCCCGATAGAGACATATAGCCTAAGTGAGGAACATAATCATTAATAGGGATTTGACCTAAGGCCTAGCTAAGCAATCCTATGTGAGATGGGGCCCTACCACAAAAACCAGAAG